CTTGAGGATAGATAATTAATTTGCACATCCACTCACTTCCCTGCTGCTAGTATCCCCAATCCAATCATCACTGCCTTTTCTCTGGTGGACAGGAGCCTCCTATCATCTCTCCTTGCTGACATTTGAACCCCCCCCCAAGGGTGGACATGTGTCCTCAGTTCCACCATTCTCTGGGCTCAGCGTCCCTGGCCTCCTGGGTGTTGCTCACATATATCAAGTCCATTGCTGTCTTCTGTTGGACAGTTCTTCCCTGAGAACCCTCTTGCTTTCGTTGATATACTTTATCCAAGGCCACGTGGTACACACATATAAATATAGCAAAAGGCCCATACACATAAAATAATGAAGAATTCTTAGCTGTCAGATATGGGTGAAAATCCCTTCATATCTTTATGCTTTGACACTTTGGGGGCACATTTCTCAATCTCATGTTGGCTCACAAAGTCCTGATAAATCCAGAGGCAGGAAGTTGTCAGTAACAAATAACTTGCAACTCTCTCAACACGGTCATTAATTCACTTCAGAGTCATTTTACTTTAGCTGTCACTAGATGTGCTATATATATTAGTAGAATTCAGCATTTCAGATCTTTTTGGGAAACTGAAAAGTGTAATGGCAACACTTTATACATATTCACTAGAAAATATACTTCCTTCCATTTCCTTCCTTTTTAGCCACTCATCTGCTTTCTGCAGCTGGAAAAATATTAATTACAGAAGTCTTTACTTTCTGTGTCTCTTTATAAATCTAGAGCTCCGAGTGGAAAGATAGCATCACTTTTCGTGTTCTCTGAGTTGATGGTAGAGCTACATGTTATCTATCATTTTCTGCTGGTATAGCATCTAGCATAGAGCATACAGTTTTCTCAACAGGAGTCACCACACTTTGAAAGGATGCTGTGACTTCTGCAGGAGACTGAGGTGTTTGTATCATGGTGATGGTGTCATGGTGATACACACTGTCCAAGAGTGAATTTTTGTTATTGTTGTTGTTTGAGACAAGGTTTCTCTGTGTGACAATCCTGTGTGTCCTGGAACTCATTCTGTAGAACAGGCTGACCTCAAATTCACTGAGATTTGCCTGCCTCTGCCTCCCAAGTGCTGGGATTAAAGGCTTGTGCCACCACCACCTTGCAAGAGTGATTTTTATTAAAGCTAAGGAGAAAAAGAGTTCTTGATGTTTCTGTGTGTGTGTGTGTGTGTGTGTGTGTGTGTGTGTGTGTGTGTTTGCACACGCGCGCATGCGCGCGGTGCATGCATGCACACACACGGTGTCTGTACCTGTGTGTTCAGAACCGTGAACAGCCAAATAAACAAATTAGTGCCATGTGGTTATGTCACACATTCAGACAGAGCACTAGCAGACTGAAGTTTCTCACACAGGGTCTCATCAGTGCTCCGCTGTCACATCCCCAGTGCCTGGTCAGGATTTTGAGGGGCCCCAAAGGAGTATAAACATTTGATCCCTTTAGCTGATGTTCTCAACAAGTCTATAGCAGCAGCACCTGTTGCATATTTACTCATTAACAAGAAGACCCTGTTCCAGTCCATGTCTTTTCAGTAGCCTTGAGAACCAGCTCTGTTAAGTAGTGCAGAGGTCAAAAGCTTAGTTCACATGCTCAGAGAGCTAGAGACTTAAAAGCAACATTAGCTTCATATGTGTCCGGAACAAAGTCAACAGGGTATCATGGGAGCTCAGTGTTGTGTTACCAGAAACCCACCCTATATCTTGGAGTTGGTTAACCAACTCATAGTTCAATTATCCCCAAACTCTAAACTCCTGGTGTCATTCCCAAGAGCGATTCACTCCTGGTAACAGCTGGTTTGGGTCAGTAAGGTAGCTGTGGTAGCCAGAGTCCTGGTGGTTGCTCAGCATTGACATCCTGGGTGGTGTTTGTTCAGGAAGTTTGTAATGCAAGCTGTTCTGTTAATAAGGGCAGGCAGTGGCAGCAACTTGGCTCCAGGGCAAGAAAGCAGTGTCCATCTCCTTAACTACAGTTATCTGCATTCAGACACAGCTTCCACTCTGCCAGCCTCCCTCCTCAAGGCTTCCACATTCTTAATGTTAATTGTGACAAATATGCATATCATAAAATTGACCCTTGTTACTATGTTTAGATGTGTAGTCAGTGGTGCTGAGTTATGATCACAATGCCCTGTGACATACGTCCAGGTGTTTCATCTCACAGAACTGAGTCTGCCACATTAAACCATACCCTCCCTCCCACTTCCCCAAGTCCATGGTAAATTCCTCAAGCCTATTTTATGGCTGAATTTGTCTTTTCTATAATGCCTGTGCATGAAATCAGATAGGATTGCCTTTCTGTGGCCATCTTGTTTCACTTAGCATAGTATCCTTAAAGCTCATCCGTGTTGTGGAATGTGCCAGAGTTTACTGCCTTCTGAAGGCAAATATTCTACTTTATCACCTATTTATGTCTTGTTGGACACATGAGTTGCTTTTACCTCTTAGCCATACTGAATAATACTTCTGTGAACAAGGGTGTGCAAACAGCTGCTTCTATTATTGCTATTTTTTGGGGTGTGTGAGTGTTTCCTTTGTGTGCATACATGCATGTGCCTAGTGCCCACAGAGGTAAGCAGAGGGTATTGGAACCCCTGGAAGTGGAGTTACAGATGGTGTGAGCTGCCATGTGTTGGGAACTGAACCTAGGCCCTCTGCAAGAGCAGAAAGTGCTCTTAACCAACAAACTCTCTCTCCAGTCATTACATTTTTATTTGACAGAAAAACAGTTGCTTTTCTAGGTCATGCTCAAAAGTGAAATGACTGGATCCTATGTGATTCTGTGTTGCATATTCTGAGGATCTATGACACTGTTGTCTGTGGCCAAGGATGTTCAGTGAGTTAGATGACAGAAGCTAAAACTAACAAGGCAAAATCTTTGTCTCATCTATTCCTGCGACTTACAGGGTCAGTGATCTGTGACTTACAGATCACCATTTTTCTTCTCAGTGTAATCATCTAGAGCTTGAAGACAGTAACTCCTGTGTGTGCCGGGCTCACTCATTCACTTGTTGAGTGAATGATGGAGACGTTCAGCTCTATTGCTGGAGCTACAGTTGTACAAACAGTTCTGGTTCTCATGGATTGAGCCTGAGCTGGTTAGATGCAGGTGTCTCCTAAAAGGTGATTGTTTATATTAGTTACTTTTCTGTTGTTGTGATGAAATACATGACCAACACCAATGGATAGAAGGAAGACTATTTCTCTAAGGGGCAGTCCATAATGTCAGGGGAGACATGGTGGCTGTTGGTTGAGCAGGAAGTCCAGGGATCACATCTTCATCCACACACAGGAAGCAGAGAGGATGAACTGAAAGTGGGTGAGACTAAAAAATTAAAGCCCATTCCTAAGAACACACTTCCTCCAGCAAGGCTTTACTCCCTACAGGTCTCACACACAGACACACACACGCACACACACACACAGAGAGACACAGACAGACAGACAGACACACACACACACACAGATACAGACAGACACACAGAGGCACAGACAGACAGACAGACACACACAGATACAGACAGACACAGACAGACACACACACAGAGAGATACAGACAGACAGACATACACACACACAGACACACACACAGACACACAGACACACACAGACACAGACACACAGAGACAGACAGACAGAAAGACACACACACAGACAGACACACACACAGAGACACAGACAGACAGACATACACACACACACACACAGATACAGACAGACACAGACAGACACACACACACAGAGATACAGACAGACAGACATACACACACACAGACACACACACAGACACACACACAGACACACAGACACACACAGACACAGACAGACACACAGAGACAGACAGACAGAAAGACACACACACAGACAGACAGACACACACACAGAGACACAGACAGACACACACACAGACACACACGCACAAGCACAGACACACACACAGAGACACAGATACACACAGACACAGCAGACACACAGAGACAGACAGACAGAAAGACACACACACACACAGACACACACACACAATCAGTGCCACCATTTGGGTACCAAGTATTCTCACACATGAATCTATGAAGAGCATTTCTCTTTCATGTATCAGTCAACCTGTCCTCCCAGAATGCTCAGATTCTTTTTGATCAGTTAGACTCAGCAGAAAATGAAAAAAAACAAAAAACAAAACAAACAAACAAAAAAAAAAAACAGAGGCACTAGTTGTTTCTGTCAAAGACGTCAATTTCTTAGATGCAGTAGGTGCTCATTCACTAAACATTTGTAGAACTAGTAAAGAATAGTAATGGGATTTGGAGATTCAAGACAAACAAGCACGTCTATTCAGAAATGTTAAATAGATACTAATATAGAATAGACCCAGACATGGGGGCAAATGCTAATAATGTCAATCCCAGGGAGGCTGAGCCAATGGGATATGGCCAGCCTAGGCTACATAGTGAGACCCTGCTTACACTATTTCTAGCACCCATAAGAAAATAAGAGTGAGCCTGGCTGAACGTTTAAGCCTAAATCTTAGATGCTGATTTTAGAGCGTATGAGACTCCGTACTACATTTCCAGGTGTTCAGGGAATATGTCATCAGATGGCATCAAGCACAATGCAAAAGAATTGATGCCATTTGTCCAATGACTTTCTACAGTTAACAACCAAGGCGATCTCTTGAATTCCATTGAGCAATGAAAGGAGAGCTTATATCATGAGCTAATATTTCTGTTTTGTGTAAAATGAGAACTTAAAGTTTTCTTTTCCTTTAAAGAAGTTTCACTTAGTGCTAACAACTTGAGTGACAGCTTAACTGACAGTTCAGGCATTGAGGAGGATGCTGTGCTGTCTGGGATGTTTTACTGCTCTAAAGGCCCTGGGTCATGACATGTGCCTCGATATTCACCTGGACAAGCACTGCGTGCTGCTGGCAAGGAGCCTGCCTCGAAGTCCTCAGCAGGTGCCTTCTCCCTGCCCTTCTCTAGGCAAACATGCAGAAGACATATTTGGTGAGCTGTTTAATGAGGCTAACAACTTCTACATCAGAGCAAATTCTCTTCAAGACAGAATTGATCGCCTTGCTGTCAAAGTCACCCAGCTGGACTCCACAGTGGAAGAGGGTAGGTAATTGCATGAAAGCAGTGAACTACACACGATGTCAACACAACAGTAGTAATTAACTTCAGTGTAATCTCTGCTTTTCCCTCTGGGGAGCATACTGCCACTTATCTTGTCTCTTCCTGGAAGAATGGGAAGGGAATGCCCCATAACACTTGCTTAATTAGTGATTTAAAAAAAAAAGACTCACATCTCGTCTACTTCATATGTCATGCTCTTATTTTTAAAAGTTGCAGGTGTTATATTGGAACCCAATAATAATAATCTTAGGACAGTCACATTTGAATAGTTTTGAAATTTTATTTACAGATTAAAAAATAAAATTGTAATGGTTTCTTGGTCTTATTTTTAAAAGTTGCAGGTGTTATATTGGAACCCAATAATAATAATCTTAGGACAGTCACATTTGAATAGTTTTGAAATTTTATTTACAGATTAAAAAATAAAATTGTAATGGTTTCTTGGTCTGTTCAGGTAAGGAATTCTTAGTGTTTTTTAAAGAAGATTTATTTTACTTTTTAATCATGCGTCTCTCTGTGTCTGTGTGTGGGTGAGTGTGGGTATCCACAGAGCCCAGAAGAGGGCATTGAAAGCCCTGGAGCTGTAGTTACAGGCAGTTGTGAACCACCCAGTGTGGGCGCCAGGAGCTAAACTCAGGTCCCCTGCAAAAGCGCTAAGTGCTGTCCTGGCCTTAGTTTCTTTGTCTTAACAATTCACTTTGTGGATGTGTGTCACAGCTGAGCTTTAGATTGTCTTTCTTGTGCATTTTTGTTGGATCTTAGAATTGGATGCTTGTGATAAACTCTACACTGGAAAAAGATGAATAGCTTAAGTGATATGAAGTTTCATGGAATGTGTCTTGTCTTTTAACTCCTTTTCCAGGCACGCTTTTACTATATTGTTTGCACTGGGAGCATATTCACATCACAAAAAAGAAAAAAAGCATTTCCTAAAAGCTAAGGAATCTAGGTCCATTCTGTGGGCTGTCACTTTATGGTAATGTCACATAGCATATGTGAGTTATAGCTTTGATCTAGTGGGAGGGCAAAAAGGCTCACCCACCCAATCAGCTGAGTGCTTACTTAGCTCAGCTTTGTGATTACTGTGTGGATCATAGGTGGAAAAGATTTTGTCTCTCTTCCCCATCAATGTGAGAGATGCTGCTATTTGTGTATTGTTCTGTGCAGGTATTCCATGGAAGCCACCATACTAATGGTTCCTCCTTGGATCCCAGATCTGTGCACTCAGTTCTTTACTGTGTGGGGTCTGAAAAGTGCTACCTACACAACAGCAAAAAATGATTCCCTGGTCCAATGAAGTATTTCTGTTATCACAGAAGAAAATGAAGCCACAATTTGGCCTCATGTCATAGAGAAAACTTGTCTTTTAGAGGGAGGAAAGGGCGTTCTGCTTAAGCAAGGTTTTAAAGGAACAACAAAAACTGTCATTTCAGGAGCTACAGCACTGACTCACTGGTTAAGAGCACTTGAGGCTCTTGCCGAGGACCCAGAGTCAGTTCCCAGCAAACCGCATTGATGGCTCACAACTGCCTATAACTCAAGTTCCAGAGGATCCAATACCCTCTTCTGGCTTCTGCTGGCACAGCATGCATCACTCAGACACATACACATAAAATAAATCCCTGTTTTAAAAAGCCAGTATTGGGTCGTTCTGGGAGAGATGTTTATGATTCTGAGTCAAAAGGTAGTGCTAAATTCTAAACAGAAAACACTTCTGTGTAACTCACCCTGGGGACGCTTCTCTCAATAGTCTCACTGCAGGATATCAACATGAAGAAAGCATTCAAAAGCTCCACCATCCAAGACCAGCAGGTGGTTTCCAAGAACAGCATTCCCAACCCTGTTGCTGACATTTACAACCAGAGTGACAAGCCTCCACCTCTGAACATTCTCACACCATACAGGTAGGTACGGCTCCCTCCCAGCTTCCCTACGTGACAGCGGAGGTGGATGGATGTTTCAACAGAGACAAAACTGTGCTGATGTGCTGGGTGGGGCCACCTTTGCGGGCTCCTTTGGGTTGAAAATCATTTTGAAAACAGCTGCTGCATCATAGCCAGTGACATGATCCATTGCTGCAGGGTTGTTGGAGTTTGCGATTGTAAGACGCACACCTGGGAAAGTGTGAGTTCGGATTTTCACACTCTGGTGTGGATATCTTCAGCGGAAGTGGCACTTCGCGCTGCATACCAGGTGTGGGTATGCCATCCCCTGTGCTCACAGTTAGCTGGAAAGGTTCATTTATAACATGGTAAAATCCTCTACCCAGCTCTTCAGCACCACACAGACACCTGCCGTTCTGTTGTTGCTATGGTGGTTGGGATTATCAGGGACAGACTCCAAGAGAAAGAAGAGAAAAGCAAGAGGCCGCCTGCACACGCTCTTATCAAGCACTGAGGGTCCCTCCCATCACTGTGGTGTTTTCTTCTCCTGTCATCATCACCTTTGGGTCTTTCTTTCTCATTCTTACTGTCCGCTTGTCCTCCATGGTGGGCCTTGCCCCTCTGCCCACCATTCCCCCTGCTCTGTGGGTCCCTGCTCTGTGGATCTCCCTTCACCAGCACCTGCTAAGCACAGTGGTGGAAGCCAATAGTTCTCACTTCACCCAGTCAGGGCTGCAGCTGAGTCTGTGATGGTCTGGAGACGCTTGTGTGTTCTTTGTCTGTGGTTGCCATCCTGACATTCCTACTGCAGGGCCCTTTGGTCCTCCTCAGAAGGGCCCAGGCTTTCAGTCTGGTTTGGAGCTAGCCTCCATGATAGGAAAATTGGGAGTGTCACCTTTTCTTTCTGTTGGACAGAGAGATTCGCTCAGACAAGTGGGCATGCACCCTGGAAACTGACAGGAGATAGGCAACCTGCCTCAACTTCACTGGGACGAGTGTACTTTCCAAGCATTTAGAGCACTTACATTTAAAACTGAGATGAGTGTGAACAGAAACATCTCTCTTGCCTACCCTCTTTTTCCCACTAATTTTTGTTTTGTTGTTGTTCCTTTGTTTGGGCATAAATTTTCTCCTACCTGTGTATATTTAGCTGCCTTTGTGTTTCCTGTACACATATATAACTTAGTGGAAGACTAATATAAAGAGTAAATCTCCTGATTTAATTTTGTTGCTGTTTTGGTTTTTCAAGACAGGATTTCTCTGTGTAGCCCTGGCTTTCTTAGAACTCTCTTTGTAGACCAGGCTGGCCTTGAACTCACAGAGATCCACCTGCCTCTCCCTCCTGAGTGCTGGGATTAAAGGCATGTGCCAACACAACCGGCCTTCCTGATTTAATTTTGAACATACTGTCTACATTACATCATGACTATTCCAAACATTACAGAAAAAATCCAATCCCTTCATTTTTTTCTGAGAACAATGGAAAGATTGTTTAAAGATTCTATTTTTATTTTTGATTATATATCTGTCTGTGTGTATGGGCCCAAGAGTGCAGAGCCCTCAGAGGCTGAAAGGGGGAGGTGGTGTTACAGGCAGTTTTGGCCACTTGATGTGGGTGCTGAGACCTGAGCTCGGGTCCTCTGGAAGAGAAGTTGGAGTATTTAGCTGCTGAGCCATCGTTCTAGCCCCTTGAGCAGTACTGATGGTTCCTATGACCTTGAATTCACGGTGGCTAGGTTATTACTGGTTCCATGGTGAAGGATTAATTTACATAATGACTTGAAATATTATTTAGACTATAGCAATCATGGCAGTACTTGAAACTGACATAGCCACAGGGAATGAATGTGTTTCTGCCATGTCCACGGGCCACAAACATTTTGCCTTGTTTCCCAAATGGTGCTGAGTAAACCTGAATTGACAAAGAGGAACAGACCACTTACTAGGTTTTTATATCACAACTACATTGAAGTTCCCAGTAGAAGTTAGTGTGCACTGCGCATCCAGCTGCTTCTATATGTAGCTTGCTGTTGGAATAAACCAAACAGTCTCTACTACATGAGCTATTGAAACTGGATATTTGTGAGTTGGGGGGCATTTTCATGGAGGATTTGTGCCTAGTTAGCTCTTTTAAAATTGTGGAGGTATTTGCTTTTGTACCTATTTCCATGTTTTTCCAAATAGGGAAGTTTAGGGTATAATATATAACATAAGTTGGCTAGGATGCCTCGTGTAGGTATTAGGATCCAGAGTTAAATTTAGTGTCAACCTCCCAGTGAAGGCCACTAACGATTTTTCTCGCCCTGACTTTGAATGCATTGGTCCATAGAGATGATAAGAAGGATGGGCTGAAGTTCTACACTGATCCCTCTTACTTCTTTGACCTCTGGAAAGAAAAGATGCTGCAGGACACAGAAGACAAGAGGAAGGAGAAACGACGTCAGAAGGTGCGTGGCTGGGTGGGACGCGCTCACCAGTGTGCACACGGGTCCTTTGCTCAGAGAGTTGAGCTGTTATAGCTAGTGCTCAGGTATTCTCAGGGTGCCCTCTTTTCACGTGACAGTCCCGGCACTTTAATCTAACACAGCAAGGCTATTTTTAAATAAATACAACAGGGTTCATTCTGTAGCACTTGTGCCTTTAACAAAGGAAGTGGCAACCTCTCCAGTTTGGTTTCTGGCTGTGTTTCATGACCCCTGTCCCTTGGCTCCCTCAGAACTTCCTAGAACAGTCAGCACTCCCATCAGCCATCAGGGTGCTTTGTCTTATTCACATTCATGCTGTGGAGAGCCACCTCACTGTGACTGAGAACTTGGTCAGGCATTAGTGGGAGATTGGGAAGCATGGGTGATCTGTGCTTTCAGAGATATAACCTACAGATGAGCCTCCCCGTGGGGAGGGTGGAGGTACACAACAAGAGGAATTTAAATCTGCACATCTAGAGACAGCTGCCCTACACACCATCTTGGAAGGACCAGAAGGACTTATTCAGGTTCAGGCACTTCCACTTTGAAACCAGCCCCCTTAGGGCTGAGAGTTTAGACCTATCCCATTGAGAGAAGTGAATTTTATATATAAACTGTATTCAGAAATCAACCCCAGGCCATGCTTTTAATCACAACATGGGGAAGCAGGCAGATCTCTGTAAGTTCAAGACCAGCCTGATCTACATAACAGATTCTGAGCCAACCAGGGTTACATAGTGAGACCTTGTCTCAAAAGAAAAAGCACCAAACACAAACCAGAAAAATAAGAGCAAACAACAATAATATAATATTGCTGGGCAGTGGTGGCACACACCACAGCACTTGGGAGACAGAGGCAGTTGAATCTCTGTGAATTCTAGGCCAGCCTGGTCCAAAGAACTAGAAAAACACTGTCTCAAAAAACAAACAAGGAAAACGAATACACACACACACACACACACACACACACACACACACAATTTCCTAACAAACACCCAGCTTGCTTGAAAAATACTAGATCACGCTGGAAGAAATACTTAGCCCTCTGGGATAGTGTGAGGTCGGAAGCCTTTAGCTGTATTGACCTAGTTGGAGTGGAGTTGAAGATGAGTAAGAACGTGAGCTTTGGGAACAGGATTTAAGATTGGGCCAGGCATAGCTCAGCAGCGGGCACCAGATCGTATGCACAGGTCTTGGCTTCACTTCTCAGCACTGACTAAAGAGAAAGAGAAGAGAGGAGACAGAGGCGATAGAGAGAAGGGGGCCACCCTGATTCTGGGACAGGGTCTGTAAGATGTGTGTTAGATTACACTCTCTTCTTAACACTCATGGTTGCACGGGTGTAACTGGGGAATCTGGGGGAAATGGCTGAGTTTTACGAAGAATTCAAGCAAAGAAGTCCTAGAAGAAAAATGTGTCAAAAGGCATTTTTCTCTAACACACCATAGCTTTCATTGTAAAGCACAAAATCCAGGGCTCTCAGGAGGGCCTTCCATGAACACTTCTGTCCTCCCCAAAGGCCCTCCCTCCTTAGGGCCCTCTCCAGGAGAGGCTTCCCTTCTGGAAGCTTTGTATGTTTAGGTTTGTTTTGCCTGTATGTATGTCATGTATCACTTGAGTGCCTGGTGCCTGCAGAGGCCAGAAGAGGCATCAGATCCCCTGAAACTGGAGTTACGGATGGTTGTGAGCCACTGTGTGGGTGCTGAGAACAGAATCCAGGTCCTCTGGAAGAGCAGCCTGTGCTCTTGACCACTGACCCATCTCTCCAGTCCTGAGTATTTATTTTTCTGGTCCATAGCCTGTTGAAAGAAAATTCTTTTTGTTGTTGCTGGCATGTATTCATTATGCTGGTTGCATAGGGATATTGCCACCGTGTGTGTGCATGTGTGTGTGTGTGTGTGTACATATGTACATGTGTGTGCATGTGTGTATGAGTGTACACATGTGTAATAAACTCTAGGACCCATAAATGAAGGAATACATGTAATATTTGTCTTTCACAGTCACTTAGTATCAGAATTTCCAGGAGATTCATTTTCCCTCATTCTTTGTACATATGTCTGATGTTGTCTTTATCCACTTCTGTGTTGATGGTCAACAATTGGCTGTTGTGAGCGATGCTGCAGTAAAGCTTGTGGAGGAACCATCTCGTTGATAAATTGACTTAAGTCCTTTGGGCAAATCCCCGCAATGGGGGAGTTGGTCTGGTTTGGGTTTCAGGGGCCCCTACATTGCTTCCCTAGAGAATGTTTACAGTTCCCTTCTGGGTCCTCACAGGCAGTGCCTTTCTTAAGGAGTATTGCTCTGGCTGAGTTGAGACAGACTCTGGGTATAGCTGTCATCTGTGTTTCCTAAGAAGGTGCTTGCAGGATGCCTTCCTGTAGTCTGTGAATTTGCATACCCTGAGGGCCAGTGGGGTAGAGCATTCTTTGATGTGTTACATAGGGTCTTACTCCCCGATGTGCATATGTTGAACCATCCCCACACCTCCAGGATGAAACCAATTTGATCATGGTGAATGATCTTGATGTGTTCTTGAGTTGTTTTTGCAAGCATTCCCTGAAAATGTTTGTGCCTCTGATGAGGAGATTGCCTATAATTCTCTTTTTTGTTGTTGTTTTATCTTTATTTGGTTTTTGTATCTGAGTGATACTGATTCTGTTTGTAATCTTTGCTGGCATTTCCCCCTTTCTAGTCTAATACACAGCATAAGAAGCATCCCCATTAGCTCTATAACTGCCACACAGAAGCCAGCAGTGACTCCAGCAGGTACCTGGGGTTTTTGAGAGACTTTTTTTCTTTTTTATTACTACTTCATTGTTGCTTTTTATAGAGGTTTAAGTAGTTTTTATCCTCTTTGCTTAATTTTGGTAGGTCATAGGCACTTAGAAATGCATCCATTTCTTTCTTGTTTGCCAACTTACTCAACAGCAAGTTCCCAGTTACAGCCTGGTGAGCTTCAGAATTGTGTGTTCCTGGATTTCCCTTTTCATCTCTAATTCTATTATTTTGGGTCTTTGTTTGGATTCTCTCTGTTGGTTAGACTAAGTGTTGATCTTATTTATCTTTTCAAAGAACCAACCCTTTTGTTGGTTTTTTAAAAAATTCATTTCTTTCTCTCCTGATGCTGCTGTTTCTGTTCCCCTGCTGATGGGGTTCTTCTTGTTCTTATTTTTCCAAGACTCTAAGGCACATTGACAAGTTTACATTTCAAGCTTCTCATATTTTTAAGGTGTGGGCACCTCACAGCTATAGGGCTGCTTTCAGTCCATCTTGGATTCCTTTAGTTTATATTCTTCATCGTTTTTCCTTCAAAGGTAACTGGTAGTTTTGCTGGACACAGTAATCTGGACTAGCACAATAAGGGCACACATGATGTGGGGGTCAGTAAGGACGGGGTGGGTGGGTGTGATGGGTGGGCTTCAAGAGTAAGAAGCTGTGTTGCATAGTCTGGGAATTTTAATGTGGGCCAGTGTGGGTGAGATAGTTTATTACCTTTAATATTGAGCAGTGATAGCCTGGTGTGTGTCTCCATCAGACAGACATGGATCGAATGGAAGGCTGAATCACTGTGAAGAAATAACACAATTATTCCCTGAATATGTCAATGTGTGCCTCTTGAGCAGGAAGAGGGATAGCCAGTGAGTGCCTTTAATGCTGCAGCTCTCAGGATACAAACTGGCTTCACATATTGTTTGTCCTAGCTATAGCACAGCCAAGTGTCTTTGAAGGTGACACACCCTCTCTGTGAGGACCTAACATTGCTTAGCAGTCTCGTGAGCATCTTTTCAGACCTTTAGGCCGTGTAAGATGACATGTATACACATGTGGTGAAGCATTTTACATATGTAAAATCATACCAGACATGATTTATGTGCACAGGAATTATTAAAAACATAGGTTCTTTTTTTTTTCTTTTTGTTTTCCTATTTTTTTTTAAATGAAAAGCATACAGTATCCTGAAATATAAATGCCCCATTAAACTACCTGCCCTTTGCCATGCTGACTGATGAATGGATGTTGATTGTAAATGGCACTCTTAAAGTACCACAGTTGGATTCCTATAGCAGTAGAGGTAGTTTTTAGGATAAATTCCTAGAAGCTGAATTGCTGTCAATGAGGAGAAAGCAAGACAAGGTTTGGATGGTCCCGTCATATCCCCTCTGCCTCTCAAAAGGCTGAAGACTTGGTTTATACTGCTAGCAGGCCTTTGCCAGCCTCCAGTAGTGTTAGTTTTCTGAGGGTCCCATCTCATTTGCATCACGTCTTTCCATAACCTCACCTGCCGCTCTATGTCTTGTGCGCACTTGATGTCATTACGCTTTGTTCCAGAGCCTCTAAACACCTCTAAAAACAATCCGTTCTGTCTACCTTAAATTGCTCTAGCTGCCTTAAATTGCAGACAAGATGGCATTTGGTATACATATATCCACATGTACATATTTAAATATATGAAATGTAGAAATATATAATATGCATATCTAATATAAAGTTTGTACAAGATATATCACATTTTAAAACATAAATTTGTATTTTACCACATTCTATAAATACACTTGTTTATGCCAGCTTTCAGACTTCCCCTTCTAGAGTACAAGCTCCATGAAAATAAAAGCTTGTGTGTGTGTGTGTGTGTGTGTGTGTGTGTGTGTCTGTGTGTGTGTGTGTGTGTGTCTGTGTGTGTGTCTGTGTGTGTGTGTGTTTGCCATTTGTGTCATCAGTGTCATAGTGCTGAGCATAGTCCCTGGGACATGCTTATGCTTGAGGCATGGTGTGTGGTTTTCATTCAGCCATCATTTACTGCATGTAAGCTTCCTATAAAGGAAAAACAGCGTGGTAAGGTCCATAAGGGAGATGAGGGGGCACACAACCTTTTTCAAGAAAGATCATAAATGCTTGTGCAAGAAAAGGGACAGATGCACAAACAGGGTCTCACCTTGGAGGAGGAGTTTGCATGGGACCACAGTGAGCATTGAATGTGCCTTAGCTGACAAACAGGACTGGTGTAAGAATGGTTTTGTGTATGAACAGGTAAATTTTATCTGTGTGTGTGTGTGTGTGTGTGTGTGTGTGTGTGTGTGTGTGTACGTGCATGCACACATGCACACGCATGCACATGTGTAAGGTATGTCAATGAGGGAAATGATTTTTATGAATGGTTTTACCAGATACTTCACATGGGCAATGCAGATCTAGGTGTGAGCATGTTAAACAGGCCATAACCCTAGCAAGAGTGAGTCCAGATCCAAAGGTGAAGGTAAGTGCTCTCTCTAATGGGAGTGGGAGCCTTTTGTTTCTTTAGAGACACACTTGATTTCTGATGGACCTGGTGAGCCTGAGGCATGTGCTGTCTTAGAATTCCTTACAGTTGAGTATAAGCAGGATGAAAATGCCTCTTGTGTGTGTACCAGGCTTGTTTGCTGTGCATTTAACTGCATCTAACCTGCTGTTTTCCTTTCCCTTCTGTCTTGGCATGCTTGCTTTCTTTTCCTGGACATCAGGAGCAAAAACGTGTAGATGGCACCACCCGTGAGGTGAAAAAGGTTAGAAAAGCCAGAAACAGGCGCCAGGAGTGGAATATGATGGCGTATGACAAAGAGCTTAGGCCCGACAACAGGTTGTCTCAGAGTGTGCACCACGGAGCATCCTCCGAGGGATCTCTGTCCCCAGATACTAGGTGTGTGCATGTCATGGACCCCTCTCCCCATGTTTGAGCCCCTGTATTTTGGGTTTCTGTATGCTCTATTATGTCTTAAAAATGGCATCCATATTTTGCTTTGAAAAGAATGCCTTATGGCTGTGCTATTTGAGGTTGGGTTTCTTTGCATGCTGTTTAACCTTTCTTAAGTTTGCTCTGGGGTTAACCTGGAAAGTGGAGTTTAAATGGATTGTGAATTTGGGTGACTGTCAATGACTTGCATTTTGCTTAGTTGTATACTTTACTGTATAATGTTGAATTTCCTTTGTTCTTTGCCACCTAACTGTGATCATGGGGTGGTAGTAGTGACCCAGGAAGACCTTCATTCGAAGAAGACACAGATGACAGAGGGCTGATGTCTCACTCCGGATAACTTATCTTACAGGCTCTCTCATTTCAGGAGGACTCCCTGCTGAGTTTTCAAAGTTGACAGTACCTAAGTAAGAATTTTTCTTGCAGGTGCAAACAGTGAAGTCACAAGGCCACATTTGTCACAGACTCACTGGGTGACTGCTGGCCAGTTTTAACTTTGGTTTAATGGCTTGCTTCTGTTCTATTCAAACACTGTGATCCATTGGTGCAGATTTCAGCATTTCCAAGTTAGAATTCAAGCTGGGTGCACAGCTCAGTTGGAAGAGTGATCGCCTGGCATGTGTGAACTCTGGGTGTGAAGCCTAGAGAGTCACAAGCCGGGTGTGGCAGCACATCCTTCAAATTCTAGCACTCAAAGGTGGAGGCAGGATGATCAGAACATCAGGGTCATCCTAGGCTACATACCTGAGGCCATCTTGGGCTACATGTGCAAGGCCATCCTGGGATGATACTCTATCTTTAAAGTAATAACAAACAAGCAAAGCACCAAATTTATCAAGAAAATGTCAAAAATAGCAAGAAATCGAGTATGCACCTTATACTTGATTTCTTCTCTTGGTTCTTTCTTCTTTTCACCTTTAAAACCTCAGCATTTAGAGCAGTCTCTACTTACCCAGGGAACAGGTGGGTGTTTGCTAGGAGACAAGTCTAAGCTTGTTACAAGGTTATTTAATATTTGCTTCCTGCCCAGGCTTATGAGTCCTGAAAAGGCACGCCCCATGTAATCTTTCTACACACCTTTTACCTGGAGTATCAGAAACTCTGGGAGCTTTGGGTTCTAGCCTCACAATTGAACTTTAGTGTCAGTAGTGTCAGTTTATTGATATTATGGTTCTGTTCCTAAGGTGAGGAATACAGGGATTCAAGAGTCCTCACCAGCATCAATCTGTTGTTTTGACAAATAGCTTAGTTGGGATTTTAATTTTGTCATGCAAAGCACATACCTTTCTCACTCATATATGCTCCCATTTAAACACATGTAGATGGAAAACCTGTATATTTTTTTAACCCTTGAAATGCTTTTTGTCCTACCATCTGAGATGAGATTGTCCCATGCCTGGCTTGATGCTGATGGTCATTGGAATTACTTAATACTTTGCTTGTGTGCACACATGGTCTAGATAAGGTTACATTTCTCTTAGCTTACCAGAACAAAGCTAGGTAGATCATGTTGTCAGAATTTGCTTTTATCTCATACTCCTTCCTGTGACTTACTCTTGGCATACATAACTTATGAGCAAACAAATCACAATTCATTGTTGGGCTTAGACTGAACATCTTGAGTTAATTTGGAAAGTTTGACTTATTAAAACTGCAGCCTTTTCTCTTTTTAAGAAAATGTTTATTTTCTTTTAGTTATGTGTATGTATATGTACATGACATTGTGTGTGTACAGTGCCTGCAGAGGCCAGAATAGGGTGTCAGATCCCCTAGAAATGGAGTTACAGATGGTTTTTAACTCTGTGTGGGTGTGGAAATCAAACTTGGGTTCCCTGCAAGAGCAGCAAGTATGTTTAACTGGGGATTGATGGGATTCTCCAGGTGAGCAGCCTCCTTCCCGCCTCTTTATCTTAGCCCACCAGTTCTCTCCGTTGCAGCACATGGAGACTGGCCATTGCAGAGCCCCAGGGTCACACCCTCATCACCACATCGGTGGTGTGCCTCATGGCAACTTCTGCCTGCCCACTCGGCATCCTCCGATTCCTCCCCCCACAGCCTGCTGGCAAGCCCCTCCCCCCCCCCCCCCCCCGTCCTTCCCTCTTCACCTGCCCATCCCCCTCTAGTCCTCCTGTTTTCACCCTTCATCAGAGTCCTGTCCTTTTCCCACCGGTTGTGTGTCACCTCTGTCACTGTCTGGTCACACCCTTTGTCTTGGCTCCTTTTTGCTGTTTCTCGGATCTCTTTTCCAAAAAATGGCATTCTCACTTGTACCACAGAACATGCTGTGTCCTGTGCTGTATCTCACTAGAGACACTCCACGATGTGCTGGGTGACTGTTTCATTTAGAGAGTGACACACCAGTGATCTAGTTACTTAGCAGAGTGGGGCTATCATCAGTGACCCCATAGTTTTAGATCTGTTTATATTTTTGAAAGGCACTGATCCCAAGTACAGGACAGCTAGCCTCTACCCCTAAAATACTGTCAGTCAGTTGCTAGAGGTTGGAAAAGTGGACCGTCTAGACCACATCATCATCTAGACCACAGCTCACAAGCGGGAGAGAAGTAAGCCATGAATTCCTATGCTGTGGCTACAGCACAGAGAGGAGGAGGAGATTATTCTGACTTGCTCAGTGCTCCAGTTGGGGAACACTGCTCACAAAGTCCCAAGTGGAGACACGAGTTTGTATCTTAGTTCCTGCTCCCTCTACATCCCCAGTGTATGTTTACCTGTTTCCCTTCAGAGAGAGAAACACAAGCTGAACCCTAACAGGAACCAACAAGTGTACGTGAGAAAAGTCAGAACAAGACGAGAAGAGTGGGAGAGGAGGAAAATGGGCATTGAATTCATGAGTGACGCAAGGAGACTGGATCAGGCAGGGAGCACGAAGGAAGACAGGAAGCCCAGAGGGTTCGTCATTTTGCTTTCTTGGATCCCCAGCCCAAGGTCGAGCCCTGCTTCAGCATCATGAGAGGATGTGCAGCCCCTATTGACTATCCTGTAACTCAGGCGAGAACACGTGCCTCTTACTAACATGCTTGTGGCTGCTATGTATGCCAGTTCTTGCCCTCCTTGCAGGCCATGCAGGATGCCCATCATCAGCCCCTTCCAAACTGCTCACTAACTCAGGGTCTCCTTTCTTTTTAGAGCTTTGTCGTGACAGTGCTTACAGACCAAGAAACCTGTCTGTGTGGCTTTTTCTTCTGCGGGCTAAACACATTCCTGCCATTTAAGTGGAGCTCACTATTGCCTTCTGGACCCCACTTTATCTTCTTGCTGTTAACATGTATCCAGTTTGCCTGCCGTCTAATTATATGCTGTCATATCTTATTGCCTCTGCAGTTCTCTGTCCATCTGGGATTTGTTTCTAAATGAAATGGGGTTTGACATTTAACATTGTCTTCATAAAGAAATACAGGGGATGTTATAAAATGAGGCTCTGCTGGCCCCACTTACTAGGCTGACTTATCAAAGCATCAAATCTGAATCCATGTAACGCAGGGGCTTGCTGCTAAAATAATTGTGTTGTGCTTGGAAACTCACGGGGCTGGACCTAGCTGATCATAAAAGGAATTAAGTGTCTCATCCTTGTGTACTGACAATGCTGTTGTTTGTAGATATGCATCTGCCTCTTAGGAGACATTTTTAAAACCTCAATTTCTCCCCTCCCCCCTTTCCTCGGAAATCAGGTCTCACGCATCCGATGTCACCGATTACTCTTATCCTGCTACTCCCAGCCACTCTTTGCAACCACAGCCAGTGACACCTTCCTGCACAGCTGGTGATGCACCACTGCATGGAGCCACAAACCAAGGTGCTGAGCATGAGTACCGACCCTCATCTGCCTCAGCAAGGCACATGGCCCTAAACAGACCTCAGCAGCCACCGCCCCCACCTCCTCCCCAGGCCCCAGAGGGGTCCCAGGCTTCTACATCAGTGGCTCCAGCCGACTATGGGTAAATTGCTATTCATGTTCATTGTTGCTCTTAATTGCTATTCACGTTCATTGTTGCTCTTGAATTTGTGTCTTGGTAGAATTTTATCACATTGACTATAGTCAAGAATGACTGGACATAGAGTCAGTGTTGATGGAGTCTGTGTCAAATAAAATGGGTGTAGAACCCTGCCATTGACCATTTCCTTTTGTAGTCACCTCACAAGTGGACAGTGTGCTTGGTGTGTTCCTCTGCTCACATACTGACTCTAAACCAAGGCATCAATAAAGGGTAAAATGCTTATTTGTGAACCTGTCCGTACCTTCAAGTTTCTCCAGGAGTGCTGGTTACAGACAAAGAACATGTAGTGTCACTCCTCACCATTCGTCCTGTAAGCCCCTTTCTCTGGGCTCCTGGGGCAATCTGCCCTACACCCTCTTGTTTTCTGACCCTGTGGGTTGAAAGCTTCCTCTGTGTACAGACCCTTCCTGATCGTGTGTTAATTCATTTGAGCCCTTCCCCTTTATTTTGGTAGGTTGTCTTTAGTTCTTTCAAAATTAGTCTTCAAAATGTTCCTTAGTGTCTGCCCCCAGGAAAGTTGAATATAGCAATGTGCCTCCACCCAAGTGCTGGCCTAGCTTTCTAATTGTACCCACAGCCTGAAAGAGGAGGCCACAGGGTCTGGGTATCCCCTACCCTTAGGCATTGGCTAAGCTGGGATTACTAGTAGGTGTTTTAAGGCTGCTACATAGGGTGCACGAAGAGTGTTGTAATTTAAGAAAAGTGGAGCATGAGAGAAAGACGCCATGGGACAAGGTCGGGTTTTTCTGTTTTGTTTTTTAATTAGGGAAAGGAATCACAAAAGGGGGAAAGGAAAGGGGGAGACTGGCCTTCAGGGAGACAGGAGCAGCAGGAGAGAGGAGAAAGGAAAGAGAAAGGGAGAGGGTCAGAGAAAACAGCATCCTCCCAAACCCTGTCTCCTGGGCTTCAGAGGCCTCATGAGATAAGATAAGGGGCAACACAGCATCTTTGAGATACCCAGGATGGAAAGAGCACTGGCCTTTTCCTGCCACGTATGTACCCGAGACAGCCAAAGAATTCAACATGCTTTTCTAACGGTCGTTTTGGATACATTTCAGTAGGGTTTTCATTGTCATGATGAATTATGTAAGACTGGAAGAAACTGACTCTCTGGGTGGGCACACGTACCCACAGTGACTCTGTCCAGCTGGTAGCAGCAAGTGCTGTGTCTGAAAGCATCCTCACTATAAACTCTACTAGAACTAGGAAGACGTGACTCTCCCTGGTGACTGTATTTTATTGTTCTTTAGGATGCTTCCAACGCAGATAATTGAATACTACAACCCCTCAGGACCACCACCACCTCCCCCTCCACCCATGATTCCTTCAGCACAAACTGCCTTCGTCAGCCCTCTCCAGATCCCCGCACAGCCCCCATTCCCTGCCTCAGCTGCTTCCACGTACCCTGCCCCTTCCCACCAGCCCTCCACTGGGCTCTTGGCCACAGCTCCACCGCCTCCAGGCCCCCCACCTCCTCCACCTGGCCCTCCTGGCCCCTCTTCTCTTTCATCCTCCCCACTGCATGGTCCCCCAGTGGCTGAGGCGAAGCGCCCAGAACCTGCACAGCCACCCATAAGTGATGCAAGAAGTGACCTCCTGGCTGCCATCCGGATGGGTGAGTACATACCTCATGTCACAGTCTCCCTTTTAGAAGAGATTGCTTTGGGGTTCCGCTAGCTACACTGCCTTCGAAAGATAACTGTACATTCTGTTATTTCTTACTTTCTTAAAAAGTTGGAATTCTCTTAGCAGTGGCATGAAAACACATTATAATAAAAAGTTAAAAATTCAGGAAATGTGTGCTTGACAAGAGACCAGAAATTAGACATCAAATGGTAGATTAAGTAATAAGACCTTTCTCTGCTTTGTACTACAAGAATTAAATGGAAGAAAGTGAGCCACCAGCAATGGTTGCATTTTAAACAAATCTGAGTTTACTCTGGACTCCTCAGAGAAGCTCCATGTGCCAAGGTGGTGGTTCTAGCATTTATTCAGCAGCATGGAGACTGTACCAGGCAAAAGTCCTTCCCGCACCACCAGTCCCCAATACAGGAGAGGTGTCATGTTCATCTTGTACGCTCAGTAGAGGGGTCCTGGCCCCTTGCCAGTTTGACTGCCCTAGAGCCTTCTAGGAAGACCTGTGTGCAGTACCATTCATCCTTAACCAGCCAAAGCCCAGGGTGGCCAGGGCAGCAACAGGTTATGGAATATTCAGAGAGCTGCTTGAGCCTGGTTACAGTCTGTCTCAGCTGAAAATAAGTGAAGGCAGTTGCTAGTCTGCAACCCTAGGAACTCCCCTGGTATAATATCCTTGCCAGAGCTGTGATGCAGCTGCCTCTGCCTCTGTCTGAGCTCATTGAATCAGGCCAATGTGTGCTTGTGTTACCACACACACACATACACACACACACACACACACACACACACACACACACACATCAGAGATTCCTCCAAGTACCTTGAACATCACTGATAGCTTCAGTTTGTCAAGAAATGAAGTCTGAAAGCCAGAATATCTTAAGGGGCAGTCATCTTTCCAGTCATAGGAAGAGAATATTAGGTCTTCTTTTGTACACCTGGGGCCAGTCCAGTTAATCCATACCCAGAGACTCTCATGTTCCGAAAGGCCATCTCCATTCTCTGCAGACTTGAAGCTTATACATATAGAGATCAAAGCACTGTCTAGATTAAAGTTTACCAGAAATGGGGGCAAATGGGGCAGGGGATGGTTGGATCCTGAGCCAGGGAAAATGTCCCCAGTATATTGGCTTAATGGTGGCATTTCAATAATATTTATGGAGGAAATAGTAACAGTGTTTATCTATGATAACTTCTGGTTTGATGTTTTCTTCAGGAAACGTCATGTGGAGTATTTTAGTAGTATAGGAAAGTTATGTCCCACACAACTCCTGAATGGTTCAGAAAAGAGTAAAGTGTGTGTGTGTGTGTGTGTGTGTGTGTGTGTGTGTGTGTGTGTGTGCACGTGCACGTGCGCGCACAGGAATGCATGCATGCGTGTCTGCCTGCCTGCCTGCCTGCCTGTGACTGTGTCTTGTCTATGTCTGTATACCTGTATGTGACAGACTGGAAAAGCTTGTTCCAACACTGTCAGGACAAATAATATGGGAATATTTTTCTCCTGGTCTCATAGCTAGCCCACAAATCTGAAATTCTGTCAACGAAATGCTTAAAGTGGACCAAGTTAAATCGCCTGCGTGAAGTTGTGTGGAAGGTTGAACTTTGTGTCCATTACCTGCAGTAGACTTAGCACACACATTCTCTCCATCCTTACATGGCCACCGCATTGTATTTGTGAACTCAGTAGAAACAGGGAGACCTGTTTGGTTTTCCTTCCCTGGGAGCTATCGAAGAGACTGATTCTCCTCCCCACATTGTGTTTTCAGGAATCCAGCTGAAAAAGGTGCAGGAACAACGTGAGCAGGAAGCCAAACGGGAGCCTGTCGGGAACGATGTGGCCACAATCTTGTCTAGACGCATCGCTGTGGAGTACAGTGACTCAGATGATGACTCTGAGTTTGACGAGAATGACTGGTCCGACTGAGTTGCACAGGGCCAGGCAGGAGGTGGACAGCCAGGGCACTGTATGGAAGTGTTAGGAGCCTGTGTGATCTCTGCACCCACATAGTGGTGTTACCCTGTAGCTTTAGTAACTTTTGTATTAACAGTGTGCTATTGCTTCTGCACATCCTTCTGGATTTGTTGAGTATTTACTGTGTAATACTTAAGTGCCACTAAACACAGCACACCGTGCTGCACACCAGGAAATACGCTGTAACTAGTGCATAGTCCTGAAATGGCATCTCCCTTTCCTCTCGTCCCTGAGTCTTCACTCTTGTACATCCTGAATTGGCAGACTTGCCATGTGTCTGTGGAGCTGCCAGCATCAGGTCTTTGCAAGATGAATGGCTATGTGTCTCAGTGATGTCTTCCAACCAGTAGGTGATACTGCTTTACTGTTTCTTTCCTTTGCAGGGTAATTTCTAGGTTCTAGAGGGAGAGGTTTAACAAATCAGAATGAGATGTTTCTCCATTTGGACTCTTGGCCTGGTGGCCTTCGGGTGAATGTGTGCGCTTTGCTTTCCTTGTATGCTTTGCTGATTTTGTTAGCTTTGCACCCACAAACAGAGGGCTCCCTTTCCAACAGGGGCCCCTCTGGGCACTCACATGGGAAGTACCCACTAGTGACTTCTGTACAAAGTTGTAAATGGAACTCACTATAGTGGCCAGCCCTGATAGTATGGACACCAGTTAGCCAGGCTAGATGCAAGCTGCCCAGAGTCTGCAGATCTTATATGGCAAGGCTGCCGCATCTGGTCCCTTCCTACTCTACCCAGTACAGATGAGACTTTCACATTTCATTTCCTGGGATCTCTGCTCCTCTGTTCACCATGGAGAAAGCGTAGTTCAGCACCTCACCCCACTTGCTCAGAATCTTAGGGGCTTGGGTTTAGCTGAGATATGCCACCAGCTGTTCATGACCCACGGTGCTGTGGCTGGATTCACACTCAGTCTCTCAAGCAGGGCCTTCACTCCCTCCTGAAGCACAGTACTCTTTTCTCATGTTGTTGGCACATTTTAATTTTTAAAAGTACCTCACCAGATAAACTGGATCCAGCCCATTACCATGACAGAGAACCCTGACCTCCCCCTGCTGTCTGGTCCCTCCCTGGCAGGGGCTCTAACCCTGAGAGGACACTGTCAGCTTTGCAGTTGGAAGAACAGCTGCTCATTTGAATAAGTCACTGGGCATCCCAGGCTTGGGTTATGGAAAGACCTCATAGATGTGCTAGGATGACGTCCCCAGATCGTCTTAGGTGCACACATCAAATGGACTGCAGCCCATAGTATCAATCACTTTTTATGAAAAACAGAATCTAGATCTGGGGCAAAGTCATGTCAGTTGATGCAGAATGTCAGTGGGATAGTGACAAGTGACTTTTGTTCATGAGTTTGGGGACATCACCCAGCTGCCCACATCACCCCCTGTGTGAGTGGACACCTGTCCACTTGGGCAGCTGTCTTGTAACACCTGCCAGCCGTAGGTTTTAGTCACATCGAATTTGACACTAAGAGCCCTCTGCAGCCCTCTCCCTATGTAGTGCTTTGGCATGTGTTCCAGTGCCCTTTGCTGCCGGGTGGACTGGCATGTACTTCCAGTGGTCACCCTGGAGCCTGTACACACATGGCCATTGCTGTGACTTGCTGTCGTATTAGTAATTTTAAGAAGCTTCTATGTTTCTTTCTCATTTCTATTCTTCCAGCACTGAGACCTAACTTGTCGGCATCATCCTCACGACTTTGCCGTTTTTGAGTCTTTTGTTATGCTTACAGTAGCTTGTCTCTGTTGTTCCTCCTGTGTTCCGTACACCCTGAGGAACTCCAGAACTCACACTTGGCAGCACTTCTTCATTTGCTAGGGTCCTTATATGTTCTCAGGGTGGAGGAAAAACATTAGTGCTACCAGCCATTGTCAGGGTTTCTTTTACTGATAGCATATCATAATGAAGTTAGTGGCACTTTATTCATAAATATTCATGAGCTTATTGATTGTTGGTTGTCCTGTAGTTTCGTCACCCAGTTAGCTTTAGTTTGTTGTAGCTAGTGAGAAAGCTTTTGCCCACTGTATTCTGTTACCTTTGGAAGAATGAAAGGTGGCTAAAATCCAATTTAGATTACCTTCAGAGTATCTTTTCCGCAAATTTGATCTAGTCTAAAATGTAAACCCAGGTTGCTTCTAATACAATACTTTATAAAAGAGCACAAAGTAAAAAGTTTAAATTTTCTGTTTCTATTTTTTAAAAGTATCTACTGAAACAAATGGAGAACAGTATTTCATAGCATATTTGATTCTATAAATTTCATGCTTAGAATTGTAGTTATAAATTGTAAGATTGTTTTAAATTGTCCCCAGCTTTATTGTTCCCTATGTATTTTAACTGAATATCTGACATGGTTTTTCTCATGGTATAGACTCGGGCAGATGGATAGATGGAGGAGTGTGTGGGGAGTGAGGGGGCAGATGGATAGGTAGATGGATAGATATGTAGGTAGGTGGGTAGATGGATGGGTGGGTGGGTAGATGAGTAGATAGGTAGATCAGTGATTGGGTGGGTGGACGGATGGTAGGTAGAAGGATGAGTGAATGGATGGATGTGTAGAGGGTTGGATTGGTGAGTGGATGGATGAATGGGTGGTAGATGGATTGATTGTAGATGGATGCATGAATGGTTGGAGGTATGGATGGGTGGTAGAAGGATGGATAAATGGATAGGTGATGGATAAAAGATGCCTGAGTCTTCACATCACTGCCCTGCAGACAGGAAATGAGTGTATAAACCATGAGCTTCATACTTAGATTTTATTCACTAAGATGCTGCTAGAAGGTGGATGTTTTCATCCCCATTCATTTTTAACACATCTAAATCATTAGGATCATAGGGTGGGAAGGGTCGTGAAAGCTTTGTAAGATTTTCAGCAGGAATGTGTGATACACTGGAACCCTTAAAGACTGCAAAGAGTATATCAGCAAGACTAGTGAAAAGTTTTTGGTTTTATGAAGGACAGTATCTGTTATCTTGCAGTATTATCAATGCAGTTGTGAATTGAATCTAAAGTATTAAAAACTGTCAAACAATTTTTAATCTGTTTGTATATCTTACTATAGATCACAAGTAACATCTCAATAAAATCACACTTGTAACCCTACATGGCTCTGCTTATTTATGACAACACTATGTGCTCAACTCCATGGGGAGAAAAGCTGGGCACATACAGGATCTGTAGTTGATGTTATTATCCTCGGGAGACAGTGGAAGATCCCTCCATGATCTGCATTAAATTTCTGTGTGACCACAAGTTCAGAGTGAATTCTACAAAAGCCATGGGGAAGCACTAGTGTATTGGTAGATATCCCTTCAGACATGGTGACAACATGATCATTGGATAGAGACATGTCAGGACAGTGACAGTCTTAGCTACATTGAGTCTCCATAATAATCTTGGATAATCTGTGACCCTTGTGTCATAGGAGGTACTTTACTTACATCTTCTCAGGAGGATTCTTGTTCACCCTCTTTCCCCCCAAGGAAGCTAGAGTAAAGCCACGCTGTTCACTCTGACCTGGCTAGATACAGAACACAAGCTGGGGTAGCATTCCATTTGTAGAACAGAGGAAATCAAGCCTAGCCTGGGTGTGTAGTGAGGAAATGAATGTGTGCTTCCTTGGATGGCTGCTTTTGAACACCAAGAGTGCCCTGTGAGTCTTCACAGAGGACAGCCTGCAGCACAGTGCTTGACCTACCCAGAAGTCTTTGTTCTGTGCCCAGGCTCCTGGAGAGCCAGCAGCTTGTTGGTAAATGATGAAATGAGAGGACAGGTTCCCCACCTGTGTAAACAGAAAGTGAATGTAAACTGCCTTAAATCCATGGCATATCCAGTCTTTGATTATAGATACTGTCCCAGGCACTTGCTCTCACTGGATGCAGGATTTTAGTAAGAACTCCACCATCTTGCAGGGGGAAACACAGAAGCCGGCGCATTGCCTGGAGACAGAATTGAGGTTCTAAGCCCAGCCTTCTCCTCAGACCTGTTCTTGCAAACTTGCCGCTCAGGCTGTAGAGGGATGCTGGTGGTAGCTCAAGATATTTGTCACTGTGCTGGAGGTACCTGAAGCTGCCAAGATGTGCTGGCACAAAGTGTGAGTCTGAGGATCCAAATGCCTCCCAGAGATGTCTGTTAAAAAAATGTGTGTTACAAAATGAGTGACCATTCTGAGTCTTTCTATAGCAGCTTTCGGGCCAGATCCAGGGGCCATTCTGCTCCCACATGTGTGCTTCTAGTCAATGGTTGAGCTCCTACAGCTGTGGAGTGGCTCTCATAGCCAAGGTTAGGCAGTGAAATACAGAAAGATGGTGAAGTTGTAATTGAATGAGGGGACCACATTCCAGGCCCAGTAATCAGCAGAACTTGGCAGCTTCAGACACATGGTTCTGGACAGAAGAAACAGGTTATGGAATTTGTTTCTGCTCTGAAAGAAAGCCACTGAGGCCAGGCATGTATCAGGGGTGTCCCTTAATGGAGGTCTAGAGAAGCCATTGTGTGAAGTTGAAATCTGGGTTGCCATGGAGAACCCAAGATGTTGGAGATGCCAAAGTTATGTGATGCCTGCCGAGGAGACCTGCTAACAGGGAGTGCAACCAGCCCAAGAGAGAGACGTGTGTTGCAGTCAACAAAGCTGAACAGAGTTGGAGATCTGAAGAGCAGAGTTAGGAGTTTGCCCAGTTGGGTTTTGGTCTTGCTTTGGTCCAGTATTTCCTCACTGTGCTCCCTTCCCTATATTTTGATATGGTAATGTATAACCTGTGCATGACTCTTAGGAGAGACTTTGAACTTTAAAACATTGCTGAGATTGTGGTAGACTATGGAGACTTTTGAAGTGAGTTTTGCATTGTGATATGGCCACAAGCCTATGGGGGCTGGGAGTGGAATGTGGTGGTCTGAATGAAAATGGCCCCCATAATCTCTCAGGGAGTGGCACTATTGGGAGGTGTGACTTTGTTGGAGTGGGTGTGGCCTTGCTGAAGGAAGTGTGTCACTGTGGGAGCGGGTTTTGAGGTTTCCTATGACCAGAATAATGCCCAGTGTTTCAGTTGACTTCCTGTTGCCTGCTTGCCTGCAAAATGTAGGACTCTCTGCTACTACTCCAGCACCACATCTGCCTGCTCACTGCCATGTTCTGCTGTGATGATAATGGACTGAATTGTGAAACGGTAAGCAAACCACCCCAATTAACTGTTTTCCTTGATAAGAGTTGCT